TTGCCTTCAAAACCATAGTTTGCCCCAAAACCAGAGCGTTGCCATGCGATGCCCCCAGAACGCTGACATCACCTGGAAGTGATATCATCATGTTGGGGATGTTGTGTGACAACATCCCTGTTTGCGAGTGGGGTTTCCCCCCCTGGCCGGTGGCAGATTGAAGCCCCCCAAAGCAGGGGAACCCCTGCTGGGACTTGAGGGCTGGCAACCCTAGATTAATGCATCACCCAAGTAGAAGCAGCTCCTATACTTTTAAGAAAAGAGCTTATTAGCCATTGTGAGGTAGCTTGGCAACCACAAGGGTATTGCCAGCCTTGGTTTCTGTCAGTAAACAGCAAGGTCCTTTCCAGGACAATTTTGCCCTCCCAGTCCATCTTTGCTCTCCTCCTCCTTGCCCTGGAGAAAGAACTAATCAAAGCCAGACCCACCAGGCAACTTACTACCATGCAATTTGTGCAACTCAACCAGATGGGAGGGTGGCTACCAGATGACTTGGTGTCACACAACTCACCAGGCCTCACTGGCAGCCTCTACACCAACTTGTGCAACTCAGACAGGCCTGACAATGCACCCGAGCCGAAAATGTACCTAAAAAATACCTTATCAGTATTTGGGAAGTATATTTGGTATCCCAAATATATCTGGGAATTTTTTGGGATACAGAAAAAATGGTCCTGAAAAATCCTGGACATATTTGGGATTAACCAGGAAGATCTGGAGCCAGCATTTGGTTGGTGAGTGAGAAGAAAAAGGGAAGGAAGAGGATTATGGGGCCTGTCAGGAGGAAACAAAGAAGCGGGGATGTGGACACAAGAGGAAATGAAGTAATCCCCTGCAAGTACTTACACTAAAATATATCAGTACAACAATAATTATAGTAGCCAGGGGTCATTTGGGGGGGGGACGCGGGGGGACGCCATCCCCCCGGGTGAGGTGCGGGAGGGCGGGGCCTGGAGCTCCCTGCTGGTGCCCGCTGGAGGTCGCCGCCAGCTGTGGGAAGGACACACTTCCGGTGATGTCAGGGGGTGTGGCATATGCTAATGAGTTATGCTAATGAGTCCCCCTAGCTCTTTTTCTACGAAATGACCCCTGATAGTAGCCACTACTGCTTCAAATCGCCATTCCATAGTACCACATTTCCCCAAAAGCTTACTGAAAGAGCATAGTTTTCCATAGCCTTTGAAGAGCAATTAAGGAAGGAGGCCTTATGGACTGAATTCCAAGGAGCTGAAACCCCAGCAAAGAAAGCCTCTGCTGCCTGACAGAACCAATGTCTTTTTAACTGCTATCCACCATGAGCGACTTAATTGGGGTGGAAAGGCAGGATAAAAATGTTAAAAATAAATAAAGAAAAAGGGATAAAGAAATTAATTTCCAAAACCAATCTCATTCCTCCCTATTGGTTAGGTGAATGCTCAATATTCTTCCATTGGGATCTCACAATTTTATTTTTCTTAACTCTTTAAAACTATCATTTAATAGAGGAAGGCACTAATATTGTTTCCTTTGTTTTTAGGCAGTGCCTTTTTACTGATATCCACCACTACTTGAATGATGGTTACATCTGAAGTTTTAATGGTGTTGAGCATATTTTTCTGCAAGCTTGACCAAGTCCTTCTTTTTGATCGATGTTCATCAGCAGCTAAAGAGCCAGTTAAGTATTATTTTCTGTGAGAGGGTTGGAAACATTAAAATACTGTTTCAGACTTTGTTAAAAGTTCATTATGATTATAGCAGGCAAGCAATATAGAAATATTTTTTTAAAATAAAGACATTCAGTATCATCTATTTTACTTATACAATCTACTATGTTCCCATAAAAAATATAAAGATTACCAGGATTTAAGTCAGAGGCAAGCTTTTGTGTGTACTTACTTGGGAGGATGCATCATTGAACTCAATGGAGATAACTTTGAGGAAACAAGCACTGGGTTGGGCTTCACAAGGATACAGCAGACAGATTCACTCTTAGATGAATGCAGACATATCTCATTCTGAGTGGTTTCAAGGAGATATAAAGTGAAGCCAATAGAATACTCAGTTGTAAGCACAGGGCATAAATGCTAGATCACAGTATTTTTCCAGTTGAGAAATATGCTTGGAAGTAGTTGGGGTGGGCAGGGTTAACTCCAAGTTCTCGGAGCCCTGGCTAAGATTCCATGTAGTACAGCCCCTACTAAGTGTGCCACCACCATGTCATGCATACATGCACACACATGCTTGTGCTCACACACCCAAATGCCTGGAGAAGCAAGTGGACAATATTTTTTTCATATTCCATAAGTCCCATTGGCACCAACAAAGCTGGAAGATATTCAAGAGTTGCACTCTCTTGTCTCTTCTAGATGTGTCTGCCAGCAAAAGATTTAGAAGGAGCAGAACTACTGCTCCATTGCCTCTTCCAATGGAACCTGTCTGCGTGCTCCCGTTGCCAAATTGGAAACACACAGTCGGAGTCCAACGAGTTAGATAATATCTGTTTAATATATTGAAACAGGGAATACAGGGTTGAGTGCCTTTGCACTTCAGGAATTCCAAAGCTGTATTCTGCCATAACCAGGAAGGGCAGAAGGTCTTATCCCCCAAATGACATGATATATAGTTTACACATTAAAGGGTATCTAATTGGTACCAGGCAGTTAACTTCATACAAGCATAACTTGACTTTAAACCTTACGATTGGTCTCTCCTTATACTGGTCATGTATTGTCAGTGGTTGCATTTGCTTATCTGCTCTTCAGAGCAATGGGAACATTAGGGAACACTGAGATCCTTTCTGACTTTAGTGAAGCTAGTCCCTCTTTCTCTTGTTTCTGGGGAGCTGGGAGATAAGGGTTGTGATTCACATTTAACTTCGCTCTTGACGTCCTTGCAGCTTCTTGAATATGCATTCCATTCTCATTGCATCCTAATTCTATCCCCAGAGGCCTCTAATAATGCTTTTCCTTTATAGCTTCATATACAAAAAGTGCAGTTATAAAATATATATTCTACTATAAATTTCTCTAATCAGAAGATTCTAGGTTACATATCAAGATCTGGATCTATTATAATTAAACTTTTGAAGGCACAGTGACAGCTGTCAGCATATAAATATGTCAGAGGAAATATCAGAACCCACATTCAGAAATCACATTCATTTTTCCCTTGTCCTACACAAGGAAATAAGAGGTTTCCCCAGAGACCCCTGTGAGCTCACCTGTATAAGGGGTGTGCATTCAGGTTTAGCTCAGCCAAAAATCAATTAAATAAAATCTTGCCAGTATTTTTCAGGTAGATTTCTGAGGAAAAAAACCAGACGTATTTGGGAATTACTGGGTTTGATCTGAAAATAGCATAGAGGCGGGAGCAATGCTTCTGCCTCTCAGCTGTTTGTTGGGCTTCTACTGCAATCCCTTTAAAGTTTAAAGGGAATGCAGAAGACAGCCCAAGGATCTTCTGTGCCACCAGGAGCAATGTGCTCTTTGCGGCGCAGAAGCTCTTGGGCTTACTTCTCCTTCAGTCCAGTTTAAACCAGTCTTCAGGAGAAGTGAGCGCAGCCAAGATCTCCTGTACCATGTGGAGCAATGTGGTCTGCGTGGCACAGCAGCCCCTGGGGCTCCTTCTCCTGCAGCCTCATCTAAACCAGACTGCAGGAGAAGTGTTTTTCATCTTGGTTCTATTGGACCCCCCCAAAAATTCAGGATTTCCAAAAAAATCCTGGATCCGTATACTATACTGGGACTGGTATTGGGATCTGAGATTTTTTGGAAAGCCCAATTTTTTTTCCAGGTCCAATAGACCCAAACCAAAAAATACTGGTTAAAAAAACCCTTTATTCATTTCAAAAGAAGAAAACATTTGAATTTGTCAGCTTAACATCCAACAAACGTGATTTGTGTGGCTCAGAATTCGTTTTCTTTCTCCTTGAGCATTGAAGTTAGTAGCACATCGATGGGTCTGCACAAGTTCCTTCTTGGGAGGGGCGGGTGGGGGGCAAAGATACGTTTTTATAAAAAGGGGTAATTTACCTGACACCCAATGTCAACTCTGATCTCCGATTCCTCAGTGGGAAGAAGAGTGAACTTTCACTTTGTGTCTGAAGTGGCATCCTCACAGGCAATGGAATATTCTGGATACTACCCAAAGTGTCCCCCTCTCTCTTCTCAAAGGAAACAAAGCTACTTTGGGGGGGTGGTGGAGGGGGACGCCACGGCTTTGCCCTGTTTTGTTGCATTAAAACAAATGAGGGTTGGTTAGTAATGTCTGCATTTCAGGAACTCTGCGAAATCCTTTGCCTTTCTTTTTGATTTTTGTGCCTTTTTAACCTTCATCCCCACTTCTTTCCTTCCCCTCTTCGTTCAGTTCATTTTTTTAAAAAAAAAAGTCCTTTAGGAGGAAAAAAAAAATGTTTAAAAAAAGGTTAAAAAAACATTGCACACCTCTACCCCCATACCTGGTGGGAATGGATGTGCTATTTATCACTGATCAGCTGTGGGGCCTGTGATAGCATGAGTCTGAGCAGATGCCTGACCCTACCAACCCTTTGATTCTGGGCCTCGGCTGCCTAAAGGGGATTAGCATATTTAGAAAAATGATGTTGTTTACAGGCCATTCCATATCATATGATCATATTTACATATATCTCATTTGGGCAGATTACACTGCCTGTTTGTGCTGATTGGGTCTTCAAAGCTACTCCTATGAGTTATTTGTCAGTCCCCCTCAACCCATACAACATCAACCAATAACCATCAACAGTTCGCTCTGGCTGGCCAGTCTGCATTAAATTTTGCACTTGGATTAGAACCACTGAAATACTATGAAAAATATGAATGGATAAAAAGTAGACAACTGTGTCATAAAACATTATTATGATCTTTTAAAAAATAATTTCTCATGGTACATTGAAACTAATTTTTTTCTCCACAGATGTTGTTTTGTGTGCTGGGCAAGTATGGACAGAACCAGCTCGAATAATTCCAATGGGTCAGACTATTTCTATAAACTGCCATTCCCCTATGGAACTGTGCAAAAAAGCCAAACTATATATAAAACTCAATGATGTTCTTGTTGAGGACCGATTCTTGTCAGTTATAAACAAAACCACAGTTCAGCTTCAACTTCAAGATTTTAATGCTCCCTTTTCCATCGTTGTATGTTATGCTAGTTGTCCCCAGCAGACTCATGATGAAGTGGTATGTGGAACAGAATTTTGCATGGGCCGTAAGTATTTTATTTGTATGGCGTGTGGGTATGGTAGTCCTAGATGATTTCAATTAATTTGGGACAATAAGTGTCAGGGTTCCCAATCAATCACGCTCAACACCAGGTCTTCAGAAAATTCAGTTTATTGAGAGAGAAAGTACTTGAGACACCATGAACTCTTATGTCAGGAATGGCGGGAGAGGCGCAGGGCATTTGGGATATACCCCCTTCAAAAGGGACCCCCTGATATTACAAAGCCAATAAGCAGGCACTATTAAGTGCGGGCTAACACCCAGCTGTTAGGTTCCCAGCGGGAAGCTGAGGGAAGAAGCACCTCTAGCCTCAAGGACATCTGCAAGATAAGCGTAAGCATAGGGAAAGGAGTGGGGGAGGCGAGTGAGCACATCCCTTTGACTGAACATTCCAACCCATGGCAGCATTAGCTGACAATAAGACACTGATGGGGAGGACATTCAGAAGGTGGACTTTTCATTTATGATTATTTGTTTAGGGCTTTCATCATGCAAACTTGCTTGCAGAAAGGTCCCTGCAATGTGCAGGTCAAATTCAATGCTTGTTTGGCATGTAAACCTGTGGGCAGAATGGGTTTCAGTTTTTGACCAGCACTTATCAATGTTTAGTGCTTTGTCAGTAATATTGCATATTTATCAGTTATATGTATTACATTCAGTGCAGCTCAGGAACAGGTAGGTCTACAGAGGATTTCAGCATTGCTTCCAACAGAACATCTTTATACCTAGGAGGACAAGTTCTATCCTTGCTCATAACAACTTCCATACATTCTACCAAAATAATTCTGTAGTGCATACTAACTGGCCAAAATAACTGATGTATACATCCAGCTATATGTTTAGCCCACCTTTTCTCCAAGGTGTTCAGTGTGGAACAGCTGTTTCCTCCCCTTTAATCCTCATAACAATTCTGTGAAGCAGGTGTTTTCCAGATTGTCCTAATGTTCCATTTTCATTCCCCTATGTTACGGAATTTCTTTCTTGAGTCTAGACAACTTCATTAACATCTCTGTGCTGTCCCAGTTTTTCCTTGTCCCCCCCCCATTCTTTCCTAAACTAGTTTTCCCCCATATTTTTTCCCCACTGTGGAATAAATTCACAAGATAACCCCTTGCTCAGAATCTGAACATTTTTTTTCTGCCTCATGGATTGCCATTCAAATTCACCCAGAAAGGGCAGGTTTGGGTGGTAAGCTTTTTATTATTATCTGCATGCCAGGTCTGCATGCAGGCCTAACACCAGCAGCCAATCATTGCCTTCCCTATCATTCCTTCATTCATGCTCAAGATAAATTCTAGCATGTCCCTGGGTGGCATTTTCAGGTACATTTTGCACTGCATGCAATCAAAGGAAACAAGCTGTTGTGAGCTGTGTACCTGATGAAAATCAGGTAAAGAAATTCAAAATTGGGGTGGGTGGGTGATGAGACAGAATGCTCAAACATGGGAAAAGAGGCAACCAATAAGGGATGAGACACGTACACCAGGTGTGACTCTCAGGTGCTGTGTGGTGGGCGGGGAATGTAGTCATAAAGGGATTTCTGAGCCCCTTGCAGCTGATGAAGTGCTCCAACACTTCAGCACATGTGCAAAAAAATGGGGGGAGCAGAAAACCAATCCAAAATGATAATGTGAACAGATGGAACACTGACAGGGGGGAAAAATGAAGAACACATGTAAGTGTGTAATGATCACACAGATAAATGTGATCGCCACAACACCAATGGAAGCCCAGAAGGCAGCTGCTGCCTGGAAAATACCTAGGGAGTAGTGATTGTTCAAGGCCCCGGATTAGCATCCTGACTAGGTGTGGACTTGAATCTGCATCTTCCCAGTCATGTGAGATTTAATATATGAGATTCAAAAGCTGATACAAAACGGAATATCCTCTTGAAAGCTACTTCAAATTTTGCTTTCAGATCAATGAGAACAGAATTTGACAGTGATTGCAGTTTGTTTCAAAGTCCTCTGCTAACAAGCATTTTAGAAGACTGACTCCCAGTTCTTAAGTGCCCTGTGAATAAATCTTGTGAGTAAATTCCATTACTTGCAGACAGGGGACTTTTGGGGCCGGAGCATGGCAGAGCGCTGCTCCGGGAGCCCAGGAGCTTGCAAAATGGCGGTGGCAGCAAGCCCCACCCCCAGCTCCCCCCGCTATGGTCTGTCGCTGGCCTCCCGGGGCCCACGCTGGAGCACTGCAGCCCCAGGGAGGCCCGTCACTGCATTCCCAGGGCCCACACCGGAGCGCTACGGCCCAGAGGATGCCAGAAGAGGCCCCTCTGCCGCCTTCCCGGGGCCTGCGCCAGAGTGCTGCGGCCTGGAGGAGGCCAGAGGATGCCCCCGCTGCCTCCCCGGGCCAGCGCTGGAGCGCTACATCCCAGATGAGGCCAGAAGAGTCCCCCCCCCACCTCCCCGGGCCAGTGCCAGAGCACTGCGGCCTAGGGGAGGCCAGAAGAGCACCCCGCCTCCCGGGGTAAGTGAGGGATCCATGGGGGTGGCGGAGACTTGTGGGGGGGGGCGGAGACTTATGGGGGGGGAGAGCCTCCCCCTCCCCCCCTCTCTTTGCCCTCTTTCTTTCCCTCCTTTCCTTCCCCTTTCCTTTTCTTTTCCTCTTTTTCTTTCTCTCTTCCTTCTCTTCCTTCCTTCCTCTCTTTTCCTTCTTTCCTTCTCTTCTTTCTTTCCCTCTTTCTAAGAGAGAAGGGGTTTAAATTTTAAACCCCTTCTCTCTTCGCTTCCCTCCCCCACCCCCGACTGGGGAAGGGAAGGGGAGGCTTTTGAAGATGCCTAAACCCCCCCCCCTTTGCTTGCCCTTCTGACATCACTTCCAGTGATGTCAGGGGGCATTGCATATGCTAATGAGCTATTATGCTAATAGCCTAGTAGCTCATTTGCATACCATATGCTAATGAACTCCTGCAGCTCTTTTTCTACGAAATGACCCCAGCTTGCAGTGAAACTGTTTTTCTAGTAAATGTGTTCAATATCACCTTTTCAAACTGTTCATATTGCTCTCCCTGTATTTTTGTTTAGGGAATGAGCAACATTTTAAAAAATGTTTGCAAAGATAGAATCAGGTGGGCAGGCATGTTGGTCTGAAGCAGCAGAACAAAGTTTGAGTCCAGTGGCACCTTTAAGACCAACAAAGTTTTATTCAAGGGTTAGGGTTAGGGTTAGTGTGTATCTGAAGAAGTGTGCGTGCAGATGAAAGCTTATGCCTTCAATAAAACTTTGTTGGTCTTAAAGGTGCCACAGGGCTCAAACTTTCTTCTATTTGGAATTTAGAATGATAATAGAGATTGTGCAGACTTTTTGGTCAGTGGAGAAACACAGCACTAGCTACCTTTCGTACGTTTTGAATGAACATAATCTTATATGCTGCGTACTTTTACAGATTTACCTGACAGGCCTGTCAATTTAACCTGCTTCAAATATGAGCATTCGAATAATATGAGGTGCACTTGGGACCCAGGCAAAGACACGCATTTAAACACTAGGTACAACCTGTATTTGAAGAGGTAAGAGCATCTATTTAAAATGTAAAGCATTTTCTTAAGTAGAGGAACCTCTGCACCATGAAGAAATGATTAAGCTCAAGTCAAGAATGAAAGAACTGTTGGACTTCATTACACACACTTGTGTGTAATGTCTAGTGTGCCCCCAAAACTAGGTTACTTGCATACTAAACTGAGGATGCAGAGATGACAGAGCAGTTACTGGTGCTGTGATCTGACTATGTGGACTAGCTTGAGGTCACAGTCAACAACCACAAACCAATCGCAATTGTTCACATCTTGTGGCTCTGATAACTGGAAACAAAGGAAGTGTCCTACTTACACTTTCTGAAAAACCAGGTTGCTAGATCTAGTCCCATTTCTAGCCCCAGTACGATTTTTAAGTTTCTTTCCTTTGCTAGTGGATCAGACTGTAGGGCCTCCCAGACAGAAGAAGAGGCTTTATGGTAAGGGTGATCCTCAGCACCTCTCATTCAGTAACCAGAGTGCTTCCTGAAAATAAAATGCTATATTCCATGGTTACAGCAGCCAAACTAGTCCAGACTTGTAAGAGCTTAGAAGCTAAGTGAGGTTGGATGGAAGGCCACAAAGGAAGAATAAGGTTTGTATGCAGATGAAGGCAATGGCAAAGCACCTCTGCTTATCTTGTGCTTTGAAAACCCCATGGGGAATCACCGTGACAAGGTTGTGCCTTGATGGGACATTATGTATCATCATCATCATCATCATCATCATCATCATCATCATCATCATTATTATTATTATTATTATTATTATTATTATTATTATTATTATTATTATTATTATTATATGTCACAGCCAACCAATTCCAGAGCGTGTAGAATGTTCTAGAGAAGTGCCACCACCATTCGGCTTTTATATATAAGGGAGATGTCTTGCGGCTCTCAAACATCTGACATTTATTCTATGCGGTTCTTATGTTAAGCAAGTTTGGATGCCCTTGCATTAGTCTAAACTTTTCTACAGATCCTATGCAGCTGTGAGGAAAGGGAAGAAACTGAAAGAAAGTATGATCTGGAGTGTGAATAGCCACACTCAAAAGGGAGGACAACATAAGATAAGAGGTGTGGCTATGATATTGCCCCCCTCTTCCCTGCAATCATCCAGAATTACCCCCACTCACTCACTCTTT